ATGTTGGGATAAGATCTTTATCGTTTTGGAAGCCATTAAGAAAAAATGCTCTTCTTGTTTTATCCTGTTCATTTTGTGTTTAAATGCTAAAAAAAAAAAAACATATTTAGGTGTAATTTTGGGGGGCTGGGAACCAATTAATTGGTTTTCCATTATTTCTTATTGGAAAAATTCGATCAGAACTCGAACTTTTTAGGATTCGATCCGGAGTCCGGAACGGATTAAGTTCGAGAACCGAGGTACCACTGTAATTGGCAGCAAAGCTTACATTTCAAAATGAATTATAGTCTGCAGAGTGTATTGTGCATCCTGCAATTTGCTGCAGTCATATGGTCACTAATAGTGAGTCAGTGCATCTTAGCTCAAAACTAGAGGTAAAAACATTAAGTACAAGCTACAGCCAAAAATCACAGAATATAGTCAAACGTCACTTTTTTGTTTGTTACTACATCATTATCTTCTGTGGTCCAGATTATGAAAAAAACACATAAGTTATTAATTCATGAGGAGAAATAAGTTATATGTATATTATATATTTCAAACAATATTCATGTATTACTGCCAGACCAGTCATGATTTCCCATCCCCACGTCACTTACAGAGCCGTCCTGGAGTTCTTGACCACAGGCAGCAGCCTCCAGTGCTCATGTAATCTGATGTATTTCTTTGGATCAAACACATCCTGCTCCTCATTTGACATCAGCAACACAAACGCCAGAGCTGAATACTGTGCAGGTGAGAGGTCTTCTGCTGAAATGTTTCCTGAATTCAGGTATCTTTGTGCTTCCTCTACTAGAGAATTGTCACCCAGCTCAGTCAGACAGTGGAACAGGTTGATGGTCCTTTCTGGAGATAAATTCTCCTGTAGTTCCCACCTGATGTATTGGGCTGTTTCTTTAATGTTATGTGAGCTGGTTTCTGTCTGTCCCAGTAGCCTTTGTAACAGAGTCTTACTGGATTCTGTTGAGAGGCCCAGGAGGAAGCGGAGGTAGAGGTCCAAGTGTCCATTCTTGCTCTCTAATGCCTGATCCACTGCAGTCTTCAGCAGGTCAGCTGATGAGTTTGACAGAAACACGTATAAAGCAGCGAGATACTCCTGGATGCTCAGATGCACAAAGCAGTACACCTTCTCCTGATACAACCCATATTCCTCTTTAAAGACTTCTGTGCAAACTCCAGAGTAAACTGAAGCTTCACTGACATCAATGTCATTCTCTGTCAGATCTTGCTTATAAAATATGAGATTGCCTTTCTCAAGGTTGTCAAAAGCCAGTTCACCAAGTTTTAAAAGGAATTCCTTGTTGTATTCCTTAAGCTTGGTTTCATGGTTTTCCATATACTTGTCATTTTTTAAGCTTGTCTGAAAGATCAGGAAGTGTGTGTACATTTCAGTCAGAGTCCTTGGAATTTCTCCCCTGTCAGTCTCACTGAAAAGCTTCTCAAACACAGTGGCTGAAATCCAGCAGAACACAGGTATATGGCACATGATGAAGAGGCTCCTTGATGATTTCACATGTGTGATGATCCTGCTGGCCAGGCTCTGATCACTAAATCTCCTTCTGAAATACTCCTCCTTCTGGTCATCACTGAACCCTCGTATCTCTGTCACCCGGTAGACACAATCAGGAGGTATCTGATTGGCTGCTGCTGGCCGAGAGGTTATCCAGAGGAGAGCGGATGGAAGCAGATTCCCCTTAATGAGGTTAGTCAACAGCACATCCAGTGACGTTCTTTTTGTTACATCAAACCAGCTCTCATTGTTCTGAAAATCTAGTGGAAGTCGACATTCATCCAGACCATCAAAGATGAACAAGACTTTGTCCCTAAACAGCTCAGTGGATTCAAGCAATTTCAGTTCTGGGACAAAGTGGTGAAGCAGTTCAATCAGACTGTATTCATCTTTAATCAAATTCAGATCTCGGAAAGGAAGAGCAAATATGAAGTGAACATCCTGGTTTGCTTTTCCTTCTGCCCAGTCGAGAATAAATTTCTGCACAGAGACTGTTTTCCCGATACCTGCCACCCCTTTAGTGAGTACAGTTCTGATAGGTGTCTCACGCCCACATAAGGGTTTAAATATATCATTGCACTTGACTGTAGTATCTTCTGTTCGCCTTTTCTTGGATGCTGTTTCAATCTGTCTCACTTCATGTTCATCATTGACTCCTCCAGTCCCACCTTCAGTTATGTAGAGTTCTGTGTAAATCTCATTGAGAAGTGTTGGCTGTCCTTCCTTAGCTTTCCCTTCAAATACACACTCACATTTCTGCTTCAGGGTACATTTGATTCTCCACTGATATTGCAGCATGAGCTGTTCTGAAAAGAAATGAGAGGAAAATGCAGTGTTGTAGGAGGATTAAAACACATGACATTAATCCCAACATGACGACCTTAACCCCTACCCAGCCCTAACCTTAACCATAAGCTACCAAACAAAATATAAGATTTTTGGCATTTTTAGTTTTTTGATCGCATTCACAGATGTTTCTGGGGTCCTGAGAAATGGTCCCCGCACCGTAAAAATAACAGGGCATTTTTGTTGGGATACCTAATCCCCCCCGACACACACAAACACTTTTTACTATTTCATTGTGTTAAAATTAAGCTTTAAATTCCACATCCTACATATTCATACTGAAGCCCCAGATATCTGTACAGCAGTTCCGGTCCTAGCTGATGTGGATTGTGGAGCCCTAGGAGAGTATCACCACCGTCGCCCTCTGCTGGAGCCAATGTGAAATTGCCTGGCAAGTCGGTGCCCCCTCAGAAGGTGGTGCCCTAGGCGGCCGCCTATGTCACCTATAGCACTGACCGGCCCTGGCTGGGGTGTCATTAAACCCAGCCAATAACAGCACCTAAGCCAGATTATAACTTTCTAAACACAAAGTAAACAGCAAGAGAAATTACAGCTGGCTGGCATTCATGCACAAAACCTCATTCAATGAGCACGTCGCTCACATGATAATGCAGTTTGTAATGTATATAAGACTAATCAGTAATAAAAATGCAAAGATTTTAAACTATAGTGATCCCCGCCTATCGTGGAAGTTACGTTCCAGACCCATCAGCGATAGGTGAAAATCCGCAATATAGAAAGACCATTTAAATAAACATTTTTTATAGGCCTTTTAAGCCTTATAATACCTCTCTCATACACTTTAAACACATGTAAACTTATTAAAACACAATCTGTTAACACATATCATATGTGGATGTTGGGCTAAGGATATGAGTTACATAATAATAATTATAATATGTATGTGATTCCATTTTAATGATGGCTTTATTCCGAGGACATGTCACCCTTTAGTCCTGTTTGACTAAAGGAAAGTGATGCGGTGGCTCTTATATTCTTTTAATCTTTCTTGATGTCTCGTACCGTCAATTCATTCAAGACATAATGGTGAGCGACGTCTGTGTAACGCTTTCCTTATATTCAGGAGTTTGGGACCATTCTCCTGAATGGTCAAGTTCTTCCTCTGGGGCTTAGGATCACTACTACCAGAAGGCTTAGAAGATGCAGGATGCTATAGGAGCCATCGTAGGGTTTAAAACAAAACCAAAAGTTCACAAACAGTTTCCTCACAACAATCGGGCCACAAGCAAGGTACGTGATATGCAGAGAACTGTGATGCATTGGGGAAAAATGTGCGATATAGCGGGGGCACGATAGCTGAACCACAATATAGTGGGGGATCACTATTAGTTAAAAAGGGGGAGGGGAACAGAAAAGCATTTTATTGGACTATTACGATTTACTATCCGGAGACAGACACAGTGGATGGTTCATACAGGTGCAGCAGGACACTTTAAAGATAAAGTGTTTTTCTGAAAATGATGTTGTAGGTTATTCCTGTTCCCAAACACCTGAAAAGTATTTCCAACTTTCCCTAATGAATTTATGCTGGGGGTAACTGACATTAATTCTAGCTATTTATTAAATAAGTAAATGCAGAATTATCCAAGGTAAGCTAGTAACACTCCACAAACCACAGACAGTAACATGGTAATTATTCTGATTAGTGATTATTACCTCTGTCTTTTTCCTGTTCTTCCTCCTCTCTTCTTCTTTTTCTTCCCTGGGCACCGGAGGGCTTTGGTCTTTCTGACATGATAGTGTCTGTTTGAATTAGATACCATTAATCGTATTACACACTTATCAACCGTATCAATGTCACTTAAAGACGCCTACAGTGTGTGATATGGAGGGGGGGCGCCGGACAAGGCAAAAAATATTGTTTGTTTAATAAGCTTTTTATAATTTCAAAATAATAGTGTGAAATAGTAGCAAATCAATATAGTAAAAGTCAAAATTTTATTTTTTCCCCCTTTTGAATGGACGGCGCCCCTGGCATTTTCCTGTACTGCCTATACCGTCCTGATATACAGGGTTCAAGTCAATATATTTTTATATAGCGCCTTTCAATACCGAGTCCAATCCAAGGTGCTTTACATGGGCATGTTGGGATACATTCCTGCATCATATATACAGAATAATTCAACAACATAGAAAAGAGAAGACAAAGAAATAAAACAAAAAAAGCCAGACGACAAAAATCCTCTGAGGGCCCAAGGTCAACTGGCTGCCTAATTTTTCAAGAGATTATAAAGGTTACAATTTAAACAAAAAAAAGAAAAGTTAAAAATATGATTACCCATCTGTGGGTCTTCATTCAGTCTCTGAGCAAGATCATTCAGCTTCATCTTCTTCAGGATGTCAAGCATGACATTGAGAGCATCAACTTCACTGTAGGAACTTATCATCTTGTTGGCGAGGTCTGTTCTATCCAAGTCCTTCACCTGACCCCTGGGAAGGGGCTTTAACTCTTTATACTTTATGTGACTCAGTTTCCATTTAAACTCCTTCAGGTCTTCTTCACTGAGCTCCTTCAGATAATCGAGCAAGAGGTCAGCGAGCGAGGTCTGGGTCTGCAGAATGTCGGAGATGAGTCCATGAGACTCACAAACCCGTACATGGTTACTCCCCCACATGCATTGACCTTTCCGTTAACAGAAGGCAGGTTTCCTCCTAATAGTCTTATANTCTGCAGAATGTCGGAGATGAGTCCATGAGACTCACAAACCCGTACATGGTTACTCCCCCACATGCATTGACCTTTCCGTTAACAGAAGGCAGGTCACCTGCTATGATTTTTTTCATTACTACACTGTAAAACCTGACTAGTTAGTTCAACTCAAACTGTTTGAGAAAACTGGTTGCCTTAAATCATTTAAGTTTATGAACTCAAACAATTAAAGTAAAGATATTTTTTGTATTGAGTGAAATTAACTTAAGTATTTATCATTTAAGCAACTTAATTAAATCAAGTTGAGGATCAACTGCATTCATTACACTGTTAAACAGTATTTCTAAATAAAGTTCTCAATAAAAGTTAATAGAACTTAATTTTGCCTAAAAATTTGATTCACTCATTTCCACAAATTTGACTTTACTCAAAAATTAATTGTTTGAGTAGTAACTCAGTTGTTTTGAGTGTACTTAGATTTTTGAAGCATTTTAAGTTGTGGCGATATAATTCCAGTTTGTTGCATTAACTCTTCATAATACGGCAACTGTGAGACACTGTGCAATATTTGACTGTGCAATATTTAACTGTGCAATATTTTGACTTGCAAATTTTAACTTTGAGCACTATTTACCTCTGTGCTGAATAGTAGTTCTCTGTGTAGTTCTGTATTGTACTGTGTGTATTTTGTGTAGCCTGTAGTATTTCTGATTGTTTAGCACATTGAGCCAGGAGAAACTCAATTTGGTTCTACCATGCATTCTCAAACTGTGTGGTCCGAATGACAATAAAGTTTACTTTGACTTTGAACTCATTTACTCTTAGTTGACTTCATGATCACTACACTAAAACCTAACGAGTTAGTTCAACGCAAACTGTTTGAGGAAACCGGTTTCCTTAAATCATTTAAGTTTATAAACTCAAACAATTAAAGTAAAAATATTTTTTGTATTGAGTAAAAGTAACTTAAGTATTCATAATTTAAGTAACTTAATTAAATCAAGTTAAGAGCATCAGCTGCATTCATTAGTTTGATTTAAATGACGAGTAAAATGTTTTTCTGGCTTAGTTCTGTCTGATCTTGAAGATTAGAGCGCGCGCGCGCTCTCTCTCTCTCTCTCTCTCTCTCTCTCTCTCTCTCTCTCTCTCTCTCTCTCTCTCTCTCTCTCATCATTTTATAAGATGACGACATCAAGTCTGGGGGAAAAAAAACCATTTGGAGATGTACAGGACTCGTCTCCTGAGTGGTTCATATTTTAATGGTGTCTGGGTGTGTTTGATTGCTGGGGTAATTAACATATGTCTGTAAAAGTGTTACGACAGTTGTCGTATCCTTCTCTGTGCAGCTCCTGGTACCACCCACTCCCCTGTAGACCAATGGTGCTGGATGTATATTTGCATAGCATGTCACAGTACTGTCTTTGACTTAACAGTTTTTGTTTTTTAATCCACCGCGATTGTGATGAATAGGGCAAGAGAACATAAAACCACAGAAATGGTTCCCTAACTTATTTAATTACAGTTCTTTGCTTATCAAGAGCCGAGTGAAAACAAAACTTGCATAAAAAGAGAAAAGGCTGTGTTGGTCTGAGTCTTTATTAATATAGTGGATTTGTAGAACATAGCAGCTGAATTCCCAAATGAGTTCAAATTAGAGTACATTTAAATGGGTGGATTTGGGCCGCCCATTTGAGCTTGCAAGTTGGGAAGAGGTGGAGACATTGTCATTCAACTCTATGTTGTGAATTAAACACTATAAGAGTTAATAAATATTAACACTGTAAAAACAACACTCACTGCAAACTGTACAGTGTTAAAGGTAATACTGGTGTGGATCCATATAAACACCATGCAGTGTTAAACACTGACATATTTGCTGTGTAGCCTGAGGAAGAATTCTGTGGAGACAGAGCATTTTGTCTGCTAAGTTATTCTGTTCTGTTACAGTATGTCTGTAACATTTGGTGCAGTGTGGTATGGTAAGGAAGTAGCCTGAGGAGGAGCACTACAGAGAGTGAGCTTTTTGTCGGCTAAGTTATTCTGTTCTGTTACATTATGTCTGTAACATTTGGTGCAGTGGAGTATGGTAGGGAAGTAGCTAGTGGAAGAGCACTGCGGAGAGTGAGCTTTTTGTCTGCTATGTTATTCTGTTCTGTTACATTACATCTGTAACATTTGGTGCAGTGCGGTAAGGTAAGGAAGTAGCTTTAGGAAGAGCAATGCAGAGAGTGAGCTTTTTGTCTGATAAGTCATTCTGTTTTTATATTATGTCTGTAACATGTGGTGCAGTGCGGTATGGTCAGGAAGTAGCCTGAGGAAGAGCACTGCGGAGAGTGAGCTTTTTGTCTGCTTTATTCAGCAACATTGAGCTGAAAACAGTTACTCAGCTTAAGCTTTCCTGCTTCTCAGTGTTTGGTATTTACAGACCGAAACATTATAGCCAAACCTCTGCCGGGGAATGATGAGTCATTGCTTAGATGATTATGGCTGTAGAAACTAGTTCCTGTGTATCACAGTCTGACTCTGTAAAAAAAAAAAAAAACAAAGGTAATATTAGCATAATAATAATAATAATAATAATAATAATAATAATAATAGCATTATTTATATAGCATTTCATACATCCAAATGCAGCTCAAAGTGCTTTACAGAGAGTGCAAATAAATAACAACAAAAATAATAAAAACTAAATACACTCAATATGAATAAATAAGAACAAAATCAAACATTAGGAAATTGTATTAAAATTAAAATAAAAACAAAAATACATTAATATAAATTCAGCTGCTTTTTAAAAATACTAAGAGAAGAGGCCTGATGAATATCTAAGGGCAGGGGCTTCCACATATTTGGTGTGTAAAAGCAGGAAGCTGCTTTTCCGTATTTTACTTTCGGAATATGTAGCAAGCAGACGCTTGATGATCTTATGGACCTATTGGGAACAATTTCAGTCAGACACTGAAATAAATGAAGGTGCTTGTCCATTTTAAATGTTTTAAGTACTAATAAAACTAATTTAAAATCACTTCTAACAGAAACAGGTATCCAGTGGAATCTTGGTAAAATAGGGGAAATATGCTGAATTCTTCTGTTATATTCAAAAGTCAGTTTACCTGCTGTAATATCTTTCAACCAAAGCAAACCTGTCAGCGCTTACTCACAAACAGGCAGTGTTTACTCACACACAGGCAGTGTTTGTTTACTGATGTGCACTGATCCATTGGACTAATAGCTATGGGACTTACTCTACCATGTGCTTAAGTCAAAAAGCATGTATGAGTGCTTTTAAGCACCTTTCCTACTACAGAATAATGTCTGGAGGGCTGTATTTGTCACAATCCAGGGTTAACAAATCCCCGATGGATCGAGACATAGGAGAAGGAAGCGGGGTAAACGAGCTGGAGTAAAGCTGCATCTGAGAAAACAGCGGCCCACCCGGCTTCCTCTGCACTCGGTTATCATGGCCAATGTTCAGTCTCTGAGGAATAAAGTGGACGAGCTCCAGGGGAACATTCGTTTTCAGAAGGATTTTAGAGACTGTTGTATGTTAGCCTTCACATAGACGTGGCTTACTGGACAATATCAGGACATTTTAACATTGATCAGAAGGACGTGGCAAAGGCCTTTCACTCTATAACGGTCCTGATCATGTTTGTGGTTGTTTACTCAAATCTTGTGCCTGTGTTTCATTTTATTTTTACGAAGTCCTTGCAGACTGTTGCAACTATATATTTAAAGTTGCTTATTTGTTTAGTTATAATATATTATTTCTGTCTGTTGATTTAATATGCATAATTATTTCATTATATAACTAGACTGAATCGTATATTTGATGATAGATGGAACATAAGTTAATACAATGTTGGTTGAACTTCATTACCCATAATACCATGCAGATATACCAGCATACTCAAAAAGAAAAAAAGGGGGACGTGAATGAATCGTTGTACCGCATGGCATTTTCAGTAAATTAGTAAAAGGGTTTTGTATTATAAATCAGTTTCAGTTGTCCATTATTTTGCTGGCTAGCTTGAAATTTATAACACAGACACAGCACATACCTAACATATGGAAAGATGCTGTCTTATTGCCTGTTCTTAAATCCAGTTATGTGACAAGTCTAAATGATCTTAGACTGGTGGCTCTGACATTGGTTGTAATGAAAGTATATAAAAAACTGGTGAAGTCAGAGATTTTGAGGCAAACTGAACATGTGCTTGACCCAATGCAGTTTGCCTACAGATCACGGAGAGGAGTGGAAGATGCTTCAGTGACCCTGTTGAACCTGATCATTAAACATTTGGAGGGGAGAGGTTCTCGTGCTCGATTACTCTTTGCTGATTTTTCTTCAGTCTTTAATACATTTCAACCTCATATTTTATTCAGAAGGCTTTTAGAGCAGTTTGAGCTTAGTAAAAAATCTTGTGGGCTGGATTCTTGACTTCCTAAGAAACAAGACTCAGAGAGTTCAGATAAATAGAACCCTGTCCAACCGGGTCTTCTCCTCAACTGGCTCCCCTCAGGGATGCGTGCTTTCACCCTTATTATTCATCCTGTATACAAATATGTGTCAGAGCAGGCATGAAAACAGGGCAGTTTTAAAGTATTCAGATGACTCTGTTATTGTCAGTTTGCTCCAAGATAATGAGAAAAGCCACGGCCCAGTCCTGGATGACTTTGTTAAATGTTGTGATGAGTCGTACCTTCAATTAAACACATCTAAGACAAAAGATATGTCAGTTGACTTCAGAACAGGCACCCATGCACAGGAGGTCACTTCCATTAAGGGTCAGATGGTAGAATGTGTTCAATCCTACATAAATAGTTAATGATTCAAAACTAAAATTTGAAGCAAACTGTGAAGTTGTGTGCAGAAAAGGACTCCAGAGACTCTCATGTCTAAGAAGACTTTCTCGTTTCCACATTGATAAGACAATGATGATTTTATTTTATCGTGCTTTTATTGAATCTATTTTCTCCTTTTCCTTGGTGTCATGGTTTGGTAATTTATCTGTAAAGAACAGAAACTCACTCAATCAAATTGTGAAATGGTCTAACAGACTGATTGGTGAGCTACAGCTAAATCCAGCATCCCTGTACACCAGACAGTTACAACGGTAGGCTGGTTCAATTCTTCTTGATGTTTCACACCCTTTGCACAGTGAGTTTCAGTTTCTTCCCTCTGGACGAAGGTTAATGGTCCCAAAATGTAGAACGAAAAGATTTAAAGACAGCTTTGTTCCAGCAGCCATCTCTCTGATAAATAGATCATAGCGTTTTTAATCTGTTTTGAACCTGAACAGACTACATTACCCAGGATGTCTTGCGCATGTCTTTCAGTCCCCAGGAGCTCATACTTGTATTCAGTTTGGAATTACTTGTACCTTATTCTTTGAATTGTTTGCACCTGTTGGTTTCATTATTCATCTTGTATATACTTACCTGTTCTTTCACTTTGAAAATTAATTAACTTATTTTTTATCTTTATGTATTTGAATGCAGCAGCGGCCCTAATACTCATTACCACACTTCCATGGATTTTAAGCCTCTAAATTTACAAACACTGAGCTGGGATTCCAGGAAAAACAAAATGACCAGGTGAAAACCCTCAGAAGACCAGACATACCACAGTGCGCAGAACATAACACATCAACCTGTACCGTAAGCAACCTAATAGATCGCCAGAACTGATTTTATTTGTAGTTAAAACTGAAATGAGAGTTAATTTTACTAAGGCTTAACTGTCAAATAGCAACAACAAAACACTATAAAATCCAAAATAGTGTATCACCACAACAGATACATTGAATTTCTCTACATCTAGAAGCAGTACATAACTTTAATTTGCACTGTTATACGGCAAACGTTAATTCCTTTGCTCAAATCACTTAAAAAGTAGGACTATGATGTTGGATGTTACAGGGACTGCATTAAATACAAAATGGTCATTTTTGCTCTGTATGGCCGTTGTACCTTGTTTTTAGTCTAAAGGCCTGTGACGGATATCAATCCATGGACACTCAGAGATATGCTGAGGTATTCTGGTGAATCAGACCATTACTCTTAAAACAACAAACAAACAGATAAGATTCCATGCTTGTGACATCCTGCCCGCCACGTCTGCCTGACCCTCCCGTCTCCTCCCTCGCGTGGCCCCGATGCTTGTTTCCCCTTGTTAGTCTCTGTATTTAAGTTCCTGTTTGTCCCGTTATCACCAGTCCGGTCATTAACGTCGCTCCTCCTGTCACCCGTGTCCGTCCACACTCTAGCCCTCTGGTTTTGATCCCTCACGATCTTTTTCATTTCCAGTCCCTGGTTGTTTAAGTTCAGTAAAACCACCTTTTTGCCCTCGAGTCATTCGTCCTGCATGTCTTGACAGTGCTGAGCCTGATCAGACAGGTTCAGCAAATTCTCTAGGAGCAGGATGTCCATGTGTAACACATACAGCACCAAGAAAACAAGCTCTCTGTCTATTACTACTATCACAGAGGTCTATTCAGTAACTAATGTAACAATGTACTGTATAGGAATCACTGTGCAAAACTTACAAACACTGAAATGCACATGCAAAGAGAGTTATGACTAATAGAAACATTCTTAAGTGATTAATTATAGTGATTTTGTTAACATTATTTTGCAGCATGTCACTCTTCTAGTCCTGGATTTAAAAACCATAAAGACTATTAAAGTAACTAACAGCATTTTCCAAAAAAATTCTCATCTTACCTTGAATGAGATGCGACTGGGAAGGTGAACATAACTAAGTGACATTGGCTTTGGGAAGAGAACTCGCTGTCTGTTAGGGTGCAGGAATTTCCCGTTTTTTAGTCATGGGGTGGAGCAGAGCACATAAAAAAAAGTGTGGAACAGTGGAACAAGAAAAAAATGCTGGCATAATACTGTAGATAGATAGATAGTTCAATTCAATTTTATTTATATAGTGCATTCTCACAACATTTATGGTGTCTCAATGTACTTTACATTATCCCTGCCCAAAGCCCCCAGTGAGTCAGAGGTGACAGTGGCAAGGGAAAACTCTTGAGTAGTAAGAAACCTTGGGAGGAACCAGACTCAAAAGGGGAGCCCATCCTCCAGGGGCTGGTAGAGGAAGTCAAATGAACAGGTTGGCGAAGTTCCAATAGATTAATAGTTTGGGAGAGGTGCATCGTACACTGTAAGAAAAAAAAAAAGAAATCTGTCAAAAAATGGAAAATGTACTGGCAGAAAATTACCAGCACATTTTAATTCTTCATTCTGCCAATGCTTGTTTGTTTAATAAATGGCGTTGTTCACAAAACTACAAAAAGTAATTTGAGAATATAGTAATCCATTACATTCATTATTTTTCATGACTCAAGGGCCCATAAACACACAATTATCCAGCTGAAGCTGGATTTGAACCAGCAACCTTACAAGCCCAAATACTTAGGCTACTGAGTCACACACTTACACTGACCTGACTTAAGCTGTAACTTTTCAAGTGGAATGAATTGCAATGTACCTGACTGTAATACTCCTTAAGGTCAGTTTATTTACAGTTCCTACTGTACTTTCAGGAGCCAGTTAATAAATCTAATTAATTTTTAAGTATTTCTCCTGTAATATATAATACATGTTTAAGTTAATTTCCAGGCAAAGCATTTCAGGCAATTTCATCCACTGCTGCCACAGCAGTGGATCCTAGTAGGATTTATTGGTTTATGTTCCATGGAGAGAACTTGTTAGATGGCGGCCCTAAAGATGGATGTGCATGGAATTAAAAAAAAACAAAAAACAAAAAAAAAAAAGAAATACCCCCTCCTCAATGCTTGTTTTCCTGCCCCAATATTGCTGCACTCTCCACATAACAAACCATCTCAGGCACAAGAACTATACTCATTCCAGTGGACCAGTGAGTTTATTTCTAGCAGCTGGAGTGTTAATCCTACCACTGACCCACACTTTTACCAGTACGCTAAACTTCCCTATCATTCTGGATGAAGACTAACATGATAGATAGAGCAATTGCTCAACAATCTAACAGAGTAGAATTACTTCTGGCATTCACTGGGCTTAAACCAGCAATATTTTGATTGCTGACACAGATCCCCAGAGCTATCACACCAAGCCACCAAGTATATTCTAATACATGGGAGAGACTATGGCATTCCATTTTCAGTTGTGGTGGGTTTACAAATATGGGCTTCCAAAAATCAAGCCTAATAAATATTTAAATATTAAATGAGCAAATTGATTTGATTTGTTCTTCTGTCCCAACTTGTGATCTAAAAACAATGAGGCTGCCACACATAATATCTTCTCTATGGAAATGCACTCCCATACCCTCTAGGGGAGCTCTCACCTTCTTTTAGTCCTGCTAAATTATGTTATGCAGTCTAACAAATGGCCCTTGAGCCATGAAAAATAATGAATGTAGTGAATTACAGTACTATATTCTCAAATTACTTTTTGTAGTTTTGTGAAAAGCACCATTTATTAAACAAACAAATCTGCATTGGCAGAATGAAGAACTGAAAATAAACTATTATTTGAGAAATATTCCTTGGAACAACAAACTGTGGAAAACTGTAAATTTACAATATTGTAGTGACTGTGGGGTTGAGGCTGCCTCCTCATTGGCTACTTTCACGCTGGCCGCATGGGGCATTATGGGAGTTCATGGTTTGGGAGCGGGTTAGCGCTATATTGTTCCGGTATTGTGCTATGTTGTGCTGGTGGAAGGGCATGGGTTCATTGTGTGTTATTGTAATGGGTACTGGCACCTTTGAGGCTGCCTGCCGGGGAAGCCGCGCCCACCATCCTCGCGAAGCAGAGCCTAGCTGATGACGGTGAGCGCGGCTCGCTCGGCAAAGGGGAGAAGGGGCGGACTTATGAGGTGAATCAGTGCAGTGCAACCTCCGAACGCAAGAGAGTGCAAAGGTTCCTTTAGCCTTGTTCAAGGCTGGAAAATAAAGGATTGGACGTGTTCCAAATTGCACTTGAACTCCTTGTGTTGAGCCTTCCTTTCTGAAGTGGACGCGGTCTCCCCCAAAGTTCACTACAATTGGTGTC